AGGCCACTTTTGGCTTGTTCCTGTTTGGCCTAGTAGATACACTTCATAATAGGGAGAGAGAGATGCTAAATCAAGGGGTTTTAGAAAATGGATACAAGTTTCCATTCTCAAACAGATTATGATGTTTGCAAACAATGAACAAGAATAGGTTGTAAGTTACACATAAAAACAAAGAATGACAGTCATTACCAAAACCCAATCATCTGATCCATGAGCTCTCTGCTGATATTCCCAACATACCTTGAGATAGGGACCATCCTTACTACCATTTCTCTTACAAAAAAAAAAAAAAATTGAGCCAAGAAAGGTTAGTAACTTTCCTATTGATATTTAGCTGGTATATGTCAGGGCTAAAATGTTGATGTTGTATACAAATTCCAAATCTTAAGCTTTCTGATATTATCAACCATCATGTCAAAATTGAAAACAAAAATCCCCAGATGAGTGATTACAGTTAGAAACAATCAGATTCATTAATTTCTTGAATGCTTAGTGAATTTTTAATATGTCATATACACTAAGCACATTTTCTATAGGACACATTTTCTATAAAGACTGAGTTTGAGCCGGGCGGTGGTGGCGCACGCCTTTAATCCCAGCACTTGGGAGGCAGAGCCAGGCAGATCTCTGTGAGTTCGAGGCCAGCCTGGGCTACCAAGTGAGTTCCAGGAAAGGCGCAAAGCTACACAGAGAAACCCTGTCTCAAAAAAAAACCAAAAAAAAAAAAAAAAAAAAAAAGACTGAGTTTGGTAAATGGCAGTGCATTACTTCGGTTCAGTCAATACTGGTTCATTTGACTGTAGCAGCATTCTGGGAAAGGCTCGATTTGAACCTGAAATCCTCACAGCCCCTCTGTATCTGCTCTAGGAACAGTTGTTCTTCTGCCCTGGTGAGCACCATTGATTGCTGCTGCCTCTGCTATTGGCTTTATCCACTTCATTTCGAACTCCATAGGTTTGCTCATTTAATACTTTTTAAGTTGGCATAGAAAATAATGGGTTTCATTATGGCACGTCCACTCACGGCTATCATTGTTCTTTGTTTATGGCTTTTTCTTGTGCCCCCCTCTCCATCTGATCCCCTTCCTCCCTCTGTACATCCATGTACAGTTGGGTTTAGATATCTTTGAATATAGAGGGGGAAACCACAAAGATTTTTCTCATACATAGAGGACAAAGAGTTCACCAAAGCCAGTATTTCTTGACACCACTATGAACACTCTGCTTAGGAGTTAGTTTTCAACACTCTGTTGCTAGTTATAGAAAGCCCAAGAAGTATGAAATAATTTAGAATTTCAGCATTTACCAGTTGCCTTTTGCAAGCAAGACCATGCAGGATTAAGTGTTGCTCTCTTACTGTGGTGCCCCACCTTAGCATTGTCATGCTTAATGTCCTGGTAATGTCACAAGTTCATTCAGGTTCTGTCTTGCTCCAAGCTACATGGTGTAAAGATTAGCAAGTTTTAAAAATCTCAGTTGAATGTTCTCATGAGGCTCAAAATCAAGAAAGAGTGCTAGCAATTTGGCCAAAAGTTACCCCAAAGCGGGTGAGCAGAGGCAGGAGGGACACACTTCAGAAAGAAACTGGGTTGATAAGGAGTAGGTATATTAGTTGTTTGTGTTTTAGCTAGTTGAATGAATTTTCAATACTTTGATAAGACATAAAGATTGACATCTCGCAGTCTACATAGATGTTTATTTCTGAAGCATTTCTAACCATAAGCTTGGTTTATCGCTATGAAGTTGTAAATATGCACCTTTCCCCACCTCACCCATTTGTATCTGTAAACCTACTGTTCACAAATTGACTAAATTATGTGTACCTCTGTTTTCACTTTCAAAAGGTAAAAGACAAGTACATTTGAATACAAGATTTGAGATTGAGCTGAGTGTCAAAATGCTAAATCAAGAACAGGATGGATGCTAGATAAGGCCAAGGCAGCATAAGTTACGAGCCATGGTGAACTTAAACACTGTACATTACTACGTGAAGGAGGGCAAACAATGTAAGAACATGACAGAAGGTATTGGGCTTATCTAATGAGCCATACAGCAAAGCGAATGAACTTTATTAATACAGCAAGTGTCCCGTCATAATACATGCTGTAGTAGCACAATCCTTATGAGAGCCTAGGAAAGAATCATTGGCATTCTTAATTGTGTGTAGGTTAAGGGTCAGAACTGTTTCTAGCACTTGGCATGACTGAGTTGAAGAGGCAGACATTGCCCAGAGAGTAATAAAGACAGCAAAATGGTTTGGAAGTACTTTGACAAAAATTATTCGAAACGTGAGCATTTGCTTTTGGAAAAGGAGATAGATGTGTGTTGCCTTCCTTTTCTTGCAAAATAATGTTGGAAATTGTCAGATATTTTTTTGAGTTGCAGCTATTTGATAACTAAATTTATCTAATGATTTAGCTCATTCCTCATTCACTCATCAGTCATTCAGAAAAGGTGTTATGCACCTCTTATTAACTCCCTCTGGACTATCTGACTGCATCATGAATTAGGGAATCCCTACAATGAGACATCTTCTCTTCCCTGAGGAGCTCAGCCTAATGGAAACAGGCAACTGCACAAATAATTGCAAGATGGTGAGACAGAGGCAATAATATAGCTCACTGGACAGACAGCATCAGGTATTGACGGCCAGGTGATGGAGGAGTACACTTGGTAGAGTTTTGCTCTCTCATCTTCCAGTCCTCATGACTGTGCAGCAGAGAGTCCTATGTCTGCATGAGACTGAGATGAGACCAGGCATGGAGTATTTCATCTTCAGAGAGTAGTCATATGACATGGATCCGAGAAAGCTGGAATTTTCCACTCTGTGTCCCAAAATAGATCAGTGAGTTTTTTCTTTACAATGTGGAAACATGTACCTATAATCCTAGCACTCAGAAGGCTGAGGCAGGAGGAACACAAGTTCAAGGCAGATTGCGCTACATATACACAGTGAGCTCCACAGTAGCCTGAATTATGTAACGAGACATAGTTTTAAAATAAAAACAAGCCGGGCGGTGGTGGCGCACGCCTTTAATCCCAGCACTCGGGAGGCAGAGGCAGGAGGATCTCTGTGAGTTCGAGGCCAGCCTGGTCTACAAAGTGAGTTCCAGGAAAGGCGCAAAACTACAGAGAAACCCTGTCTCGAAAAAAACAAAAAAATAAAAAATAAAAAAAAATAAAAAAATAAAAACAAAGTACTAGTGGAGACTATGTGGTTGTTGTACAAAGTATTGACCAGCATGTCTTTCTACTTATGATGTTCTACTGACTTATTCCATAATGTGCACACATACAATAAGACACTTATTTATCATGGAGAGCTTCAGAGGCCTAACACCTAAATACATGGGTCTTGTTAAATAAATAAATATAAATATAGAACGTTATTAAGAAAAATCATTTTTATAGGTTTGGTAGAAAGTAGCTAGCCATCCATGTTATACTATTTAAAAAGAAGAAAAACATTTTAGCATGTGCTCACAAACATACCCACAAACATTCCCAGTATACAACTCCTTCCCCTGATGAACTTTGGGGAAGGACATCTGTGAGAAATAAAGCAAAGGCCTTTCCATTTCCCTTCTATGTTTATATAGTTGAAAATATTTTTTATGATATCTGTAGACTTCATTTTATGACCTAGGAAAGAGATGTCCTCAACGCCCCATACGTACTTGGTACCATATGGTCCATTATAAATGTTAGTTTATCCTTTCTAGGTAGCATGGAAATACAGCTTGCTCAAGATGGTTTAAACCTGCAAACAATATCACACACATATTCATAAGTGTTTTCCCTTGGAATGAAATGCAGTGTTTCAGAGTAAAGTCAATAGATTTTAGATGAACTATGTGATTAAATCTATATTTGGCTTATTTAACCATTTAAGGCTGAATTATTAAGCAGGAAGTCTGCCAAATCTTGATAATTCCAGGCTGTATTTCAACATCGGAAATTACTAACCTACTATTATGGGCATTTTTAGTCTTTAGAGTACAAACTTTTATATTTCACATTCTGAACTGAGTAAGTATTATGTTAGCTGTTGCCAAATCTTTTAGGGAAGGCCATCCTGCAATTATCAATACATGTTAAATGGTCTGAAATGAAAATCAGCTTTGTGGAACTTTTTAATTTAAAGAATTTAAAATATAAGACTGACCCAGTGCTTAAGAGATTTTGTTGCATTGCCAGAAAACCCAAGTGTATACTTATACATCCTCTCTCTCTCTCTCTCTCTCTCTCTCTCTCTCTCTCTCTCTCTCTCTCTCTCTCTCTCTCTCTCTCACACACACACACACACACACACAAATAAAAATAAAAATAAAATGAATCCTTTTTAAAAAAAAGTTTAAAACAGTCTCTAGGTAAATCAACTTTTATTACATTAATTTAGTTTTCCTTGTTTTTCATGAAAATTTGTGAATAATTTAATTTGAAAATCAAATTATTTTTAAATGTGCTAAAGAAAGCCTGGAATGGTGGCACATATCTTTAATTCCAGCACTCAGGAGGCTACATAGAAAGTCAATCAGCCCCCCACTCCTACACACACACACACACATACACACACACACACACACACACACACACACACACACACACACACACACGTACATAGAAATGAGACTAAGAAAATCTGGGTAAGATTAATATAGATTGTGTCCATTTTATCCCAGTTATGATGATGTACTATAGCTTTGAGATATAGGGGATACTAAGTTAAGGGTTGTGTGGAACCTGAAACTTCTCAGAAGTTGGGAGTGTCATGGCTTTATGTTTTCTGGGTAATTTTGCGGAAGTAACTGAGCTTTCCTTTTCCTCCTGTGAAACTGTGAGGAAAAAACACTGGTAAACAGACATGCTTTTCTGAAGGTGAGCACCTGCCTGGTACCTGGAAGACAAATGACAGTGGAGAACAGGGGCTTTGTCTATACAGTATGTCTAATTTTCAGAATGTACAGAACCAAACTTACCATTCTTTTCCTCCATTCCCAGATTACGCCCGATTTGAGGCCAAAATCCATGACCTACGAGAGCAGATGATGAACCACAGCATGAGCTCCGGGTCCGGGTCCCTTCGAACCAATCAGAAACGCTCCCTGTATGTCAGGTAGGAATTGGAACATTCCTGACTCAGGTGTACTTGTCTTGTGCTACCAGCTTAGGGACACAAGTGCATGCCTGTGTTCCAATTAGCCCAAGTCTGCTCAAAAGGCCTTGCATTTAACCATTTTGAAGTAATTTTTGAAATACCATCAGGTTAAAACTTTTCCCTAGTTTTATCTCTTAAAATTTTTTCTCTTGAAAAAATAGGGGTGGGGTGGGGGGAGGGGTCTATCTGTGTGGCTCAGGTTGACAAACACTTTCTTCGTGCTGGAAACATAGATATACATCACCATACTCAGTTCTCAAGTTATCCCTTAATAATATTTAAAAAGTATTAAAGTGTAACATAGGTTTCATTTATGACAAAGTTTGAATGCATAAATTGAAGCTCTGGACATTTGTTTGCAGGCAGTCTTGGAAGAAAACATTCCTTATGACTTCCTGACCCTCTGGGTATTGAGTGTGTCAGCTTCGTGCCTTCATTAGAAACCAGCTGTTCTGTCAAAAAGGAATGCACATTGGTTGTTTTTCTGAAAGTTTTGGTGGAAATACTTTCTTCAGTAGAATCTCAAGTTGTTTCCAGGACCATAGCAATTCATTGCTCCCTGCCTGACTGAAACCCATTAATGAGCTGAGCACGGTGACTCACATCTGTAATCTCACTACTTAGATGGAGGCAAGGAGACCAGGTTATGTTTAAGACGAGCTTGGAGATACTGCATGTTCCACTGCAACCCTGGTTACAGAATGAGCAAATTCAAAATGCCTGTCAGCATTTTATCCCCGTGGAAACCTCTTCAGTGAGACAGATAGACACTCAAGTATAGCACGCTCCACTTACTAGTACCAGCTCCTGGATTTCATCTAAATTCTATCTATTTGTGTGTATGTATGTGCATGCCCTTCTACCATGTGGGTTCTGGTCTCTCGGCTAGACTGGAAGCTATTTTATCCACTGAGCCATTTTGTCAATGCAGGGCTTTTAATAAATAGTGCAGATACTAACAGCTGTGAGTGAAAGTAACCCCTAATGTGGTCAGAATGAATGTATGCCTGTTTGGAGGAATCAGTCCTTCATTCTTCAGATGTCCGCCACCAGCTCTGGCCCAGGAGTTGACTGACAACTAAGGCCACATCTTCCTCACCAAAATTTCACGTTCTTTTCCAGCAAGAATCCCATGATACATCTACTAAATGATGCATTTGAGTTAGACTTGTCTGAATTCCAAATGGCTGTAAAGTTCACTTTCCTGTGTGTTACACATGCAGGGAGAAAATAGAAGGTCAATTTCAGAAGGTGGCAGGTTCTCAGGGGCCTTATTTGTTGGGTGCTCTGGTCATCATAGAATCCCAGTTTATAAAAAAAAAAAAAAAAAAAAAGAATCCCAGTTTATTTAGGGGAGTTTCCATGCCTCAGGCCTCTTGAGGTTTAAAAACACACGATGGATGGATGGATGGATGGATGGATATCTAGCAGACTGTTAATCTTCCATAATTAGTCAAATGTATTCTAGATTGTTTTGAAGTACTTTGTTGTCCATGGCAGGAAATGTGGAGAACTACCTTAGAAAGCATCTTATAGTGACATTGCAAATGTGATGTAAATTAAGCCAATTTGTGTCACCTTTTGGGGGGGGGGGTCGAGACAGGGTTTCTCTGTGTAGCTTTGCGCCTTTCCTGGAACTCACTCTGTAGGCCAGGTTGGCCGCAAACTCACAGACATCCACCTGCCTCTGCCTCCTGAGTGCTGGGATTAAAGGCATGTGCCACCACCCGGCCAATTTGTGTCTTATTTTTCTTCTCCATACTTGTGTTGTATTACTGGTTTTCCTGATAAAAATTATTTTGAAAAATCTTGAAATGTCATCCTTTGTGATAGCAAATAGAAAAAAAATAGTTGGGCTAACGGTACCCAGACAAATCAGTCAACTAAATTGCTTTATAAACTCAAAGTGCAAGGAAAAAATCATCAATATTGTTGTCATGAACTACATGAAAATATCATTACTGCAGTAGAAAAAAAATTGATGAAAACATATGGGTTAAAAGTTTTTAAGTTGTGGAAATTAAATGAAGGGTTATAATACAAACTCAAAAGACGTATTTGAAAGTATTATTGATTAGAATCTTCTTCATGCTGAGAAATGATAAAAAAAAATTATAACATGCAAGAAAATTGGAAACTTACACTAATAAAAAGGTTTTAAAGGAGGTAACTTTTAAATGAGACTCAAACACACTTGACTTTCCATATGAAAATCCCTAGAGGAAATCTCTCTAGTATTGAAATGTGGTATTTAGTCTCCCCAAACTCCATTATGCAGTACCTAGAGAGCTGACCTCAGCATCTACATGATTCTGAGACAGAGTGGTAGAAGAAATAAAGGCCACACACAGACAAGAGCCTAGGACAAAAACTCCTAAGAGCCCCAGGCCTTGTTCTTGTACAACATGGTAAAATAGACCAACAAAGGACGTAAAGATGTGAAATGGACTAGCAAAGCTCAAACAGTCCTCCCCAAAAATGGTCCCTAGGGACACTTGCCGTATCTGGAGCATGCAAACAGGAACTGTACCAAATTTGTCTATGATTATTTTAGAACATCAACTACTCACTCTCTCAAAATAAATGAGTAGCAGGGATTCTCAACTATATAAGGTGATGAGCCTGTCTCTCTCATCTGGAAATATCGTCTTGAAGTATTATTTTTCTCGTCTTGCTCACCCCTATGTACTCTAGAAGGAAACGTAGCTCTCACCAGATCTGCTGTGAGGACCGAGAAGAACAAACACTGGCCTGGGATCTCCAGCTGCTATGACAATCAACTTCTCCACTAGTCCTCCATCTCTCCCCTTTATTCCACCTTCCTCAATCTTCGTTCATGGGTTCCAGCTGTTGAATGTATTTTAGCTGTGGTTGCCAGTCCATTCCTGTCAGTACTGGGCTAGATGCTTAGATGAGTGAATTAGTTAGCTAAGAAGTACAACTCAAGCACACCACTTTGGAGTCATACAAGATATGTATTTCTTTCACTGATACTATCCATACATTTGAACGAAGTCAAAAACTTAATCAGAAAGTTTACAAAATTTTGACCTAGGATAAATGATTTCAGTATTTGCCTAGTTCACAGAACTTGTACTCTGCCTTTGAATTTCTCCCCCCACCCCGGGGGGGGGGGGGAGAGAGAGAGAGAGAGAGAGAGAGAGAGAGAGAGAGAACTAGTTTTGGCTCTGGCCATGTTGGAGTTGATGTATCTTCTCACGAGCCTGTGAATCTGTTGCTGACCTTATCCCTCTGGCAGACACGATCCTCCTAAGTGGTAGCCCTTTGTGTCCCTGAACTCCTGAATGAGGGAAAGGAACCAGCACTGCCTAAGACAAGCAGAGCTTTAAACTACCTCCACTTTTTCTATTTTCCAGGTAGCTGGAATCATTTTACTTCTTTTAATCTTGTGTGTGAGGTACTGGAAGTGATATGGGAGCATTGTGCAAATGAAGTTGGTTTATACTCGTAATGCTGTACATGTTGAACAGTAATGATTCCTATGCATTTGTCTTTTATATTTCCTGCATTGTGAAAACCTATAGTTGCAGAATCTTAACAACAAATAAAGTTGGCTGGGGATGTAGTTCAACAGTATAGTTCTTATGTAGCCTGTAAGAGAGCCTGGGTTCCAACCCTAGTATCACAAAAGGAAGTAAGTTGAAGCATTAATGATATGAATACAGTAATTTCAGAGTGTAGGACAAGTGCTTTATCAGTTTTCAAGTAGATGCACTTAATCTCCAGAGCTGCTGTAATGTGGGATTTGTTACACAGCATCAAGGATTTCCATTTGGGCAAAAGAAACAAGCAGGTGCCTAGGTGGAGTGGGTATGAATTCAACTGCTCATACATGTTCTCCTCTCCTGCCCATCAGTCAGTACAAAGCTGATTTACAAAGAACGTGGCTTTTCCTGCTGCTTAGAGGACTAAGGTCAGAGACAGAGGGTTTTAAATTCCCATAGAGGCCCAGATGTCTGAAGAACAAGCTTGCCTTCTGGTTAAAGGCATAAAAGTACCCCAATCACCGTGAGAAAACAGGAGGTCGGAGAGAAAAGCAGATACTTCATCCATCGCTTAGGATGGAAAGGTCACCTTAAAGAAATTTTGGCCTATGTTCATTTGTTAATAAAGGATAGTGAGACTTCCCACAAGTAATCTCTTGGTTATGAATTTAGGTTTAAGAATGGAAGCTCTGAGGGCTGCACTCCACTCACGTAGTTACAAAAGCATCTCTTGAGTATGTGTTCTGTTCCTAAACCTGCAACTGGCATGAAGGACTCAGCAGAAAATCATGTTTCCTGCCAGTAGGAAACTCACCATCTAGTGGGAGCGAGGGGAAGCTATTAAGTGTACTGGGATATCTGAAGGCTGCAGATAGGCAGAGAAACCTCTGGAATTTTGGCTACTTCCTAATGCACAGTGTTTGCATTGCTATTTCAAAAACTTGTAAGTATTTTGACCCTAAGAACGAAGGGCGTTCATTCTTTCTCATGGCCCTGTAAATAGAAACATGCATAAAGATAAAAGGACTTTGTCATTATATAGTACTCTTTGGTTTATAGTGTCCTTCATTATTTTCCATTCTGTGTGATTCTTTCTGTGTTGAGTGATGGTCACAACTGACTGACTTGATTTAATAACTCCTCAGTGGATCATGATTTATAGCTTCCAGATACACACAAAAGTTCCAGGTCAACAACATGGTACCCAGTCAAGCAGGAAAGCACATTTTCACTGCATTAACAATACAGTGTCTGAGGGATCCCAAATGCTTGGTGGTGTAGCCAGTTTGAAGTGGGTTATCCTTGCATGAAGGAAGAGGTAGAAATAGAGGGAAATATCTGTCATGAGCTTCCTTTCATCAAATACCATTCTTTGTTTTTGCATTCATTCTATAAAATTATCTCAGCCCACTAGTCAGGTATGACCCCCTTTTAGAGATAAATAAAGAAATT